CATTTGAAAAGTGACTTGGCGATCTGCATCACATGCCAGGAAGAGATTCATACCTTTCGACTCTGTATTTCCACTCCTTGGAATACATCCTTGGGAAAGAATCCAAAACATGGGAAAAGCCATATGTGCGAGGATATTTTCTTGGCATTATTGTTTATATCAGAAACTTGGAAGTAACCAGCTGTCCAGCTGTTGATGGATGGGTGAATATGGTCCTGGTATGTTGAACCACTGAGATACCATGAAGCCGTTTACAGTTATGCTCATGAAAAGTACATAACAGCGTGATAAAGCTCTTGTGAAAAGCGCCGAATGGAAACAGTAGGGTTGGACGGTTTATGCTTGTGTCTGCAGTGAAGAAAGCATGCCTCTCAAGGAAAGATGAAGGCGAATTTAACAAGATGATGGAAGTTGCCGGTGGTGATGCCACTCTTTGTTTTTCAAATGGTTTATAGTGTTGCTGTGTGGCTTTGGTAACTTAACAAATGGGACTGTTTATCTTTCTAACGAAACATGAAAATAGCCACTTCATGATTCACTTGTCTTCATCCTCCAGATTCTGAGACTTGTGTGAAAACCTTGAGAAACAGAGAACCAGGTGATGGGAGGGCCCCATCGTGATGCTCTGGTGTCCGTGCCGAGCTGTCCACCACAGAGTTGTCAGTGGATGATTTTTTTTAAGTAGACCTCCAGACCTTTCTTCAGAGGAGTAGCGGGGTGGACTCGAACTCTCAGCCTTTCCTTTCCCAGCCACACACCCAGCTAACTAGTTGCACCACCCAGGAGTGCATCCCTAATAAGTATGAATCTAAAAGGATCCTTCTGAGATAGAGGAAAGAAGATGAGAGCCAATCCGTCTTGCACAGTGACTGTGTCCTTCCGGCTTTGGAAAGTGACAGGTGGTCTGGAGAGACTAGCAAACAGATTGCTGTAAGCAGGACTGTGGTAGAAGGTCCTGGACGGAGTGGGAGGGAAAAAAAATTGGAAGAACAGAATTTAGTACCAACTTAAGTTGGAATCTCCCACGGGAGGAGAGACCACCTGTGTGGAGCCCCCAGATCACCCAAGATGAGAAATGACTTCACACTGGACGTTGCACCCCCATCATCAGTCAGTCCCTCTCTTTGTTGATTGTGCTTCTCTGAGTTAAGTACTCTAAGGTGTTGGTTGTGTGTCACTGAGTTGTAACCAACCCACAGCAAACCCTCCAGTGGATTTTCAGAGGCAAATCTTGCAGGACAAGATTGCTCAAATAAGATTACATTTTAATTTCAGATGGGCATGTCTGCTTTTCCTTGAGAAGCCCGAGTGGCCTTGCAGTGGCCACTGGCAAAGCAGTCAAACTACTAACATGAAGTTTGACAGTTCAAACACATCCGGTGGCTCCGCAGGACAAAGGCCTGGCAATTTGCTTCTGTAAAGATCGCCACTAGGAGCAGTTCCACTCTGCAACATATGGGGTCACCATGAGTGGGCATCGGCCCGAGGACAGGGGGGTGGGACTGAGCAGGAGCTGCATTTGCCAGAGGGTCCCTTGTGTCCTTTCACTGCTCAAGGACAAGGGCCTCTGTCGCCTCTCGCTTCCTCAAGCAATTGCCGAGAAGACTGAAAGCCAGTTAAGAGACTTAGGCTTGCCTGTCATCACCCTGCCTCACCCTGCCAGGGTTTGGGATACATTCCAGGGCCTAACTGCAAAATCAAGGGCTCTAAGTGTCTTGGCAGTCAGGAGATAATGATGCAATTAAGCAGAGGCGGTTATGACCCGGGATGCGTCCTAGGGATTAATGGAGGCCGGGAGGAGTGTGCGCCTGTGAGCACAGCTGAGAGCCATTAACCCCAGCAGCTCATCAATCCGCAGAAAAGACCAAGGACTACACTGCCAAGCCTGTCCAGGTTGGAGATCGTGTAAAAATAAATTACCACAGAGGAAGAGCAGTCATTGTGTGCACAGTGACATTTGCTCTGCGCCGTATTTATAATTGCTCACTAACACCATGTAATCTCAGTTTTCACGTTTGTGCTTCTTACTGTATGGGAGCCGTTCAGAAGTTCTGTGACATGGAATCCTGTAGCATTTTTGTGAAGCATACAGGGGTCATGCCCACAGTGAGCGCCTGCTAACCTGTCCATATAGGACACGCAGAATTTCCCTGAATCATTTCGTAGATGACAAAGTAGTTTGCAGTTAGGAGATAGCCTCAAGATTGAGCCTACACAAATGTACTGCAGAGAAAAAGCCTGGTGAACTGTCTCTGTAAATGTGCAGTAGATGAATCCTCAAAACAATTGCCCTGAGACTGTCGTAAAACCTAAAATATTCCCTGAAATCTTTAAAAGAAACAACAGTTTAGCTTAATTAGAAAGAATATACACCATACAATATGGTGTCTCTTTACAGAACTGTCAGTATGTGACTGCAGCAGGGGGCTTAATCCAGATGGAGAGCTTAAGGATGGCACAGGATAGGGCAAGGTTTCATTCTGTGGTTCACAGGGTCGCTGTGAATTGGGTTGACTGGACATCATCTATCGACAGCAGCATCTGCAATCAAATTGGCAATAGCAGCTAGAAAGTTTAGCTAGGAAGCTTGAGTGAGTAATGGTGTTCATGTCAGTGGGAGAATGAATCAGAAAAAAGTGGGTGAAAATGGTTTCACAACTTGAAAGAAGCCAAAGAATGTCACTGAATTGTATAAATTGTTGAATTGGTGAATATTTTACTGTGCATATTCACAGCAATGGAGCAGAAAAGCTAACAGCCAAGAAAACCCACTGGAGCAGTTCCACTTTGTAACACATGGGGTCGCTGTGAGGCAGAATCAACTCTGGAAACGCAACTGCTTTACTTTTGAAGTGATAGAGTTAAAGGCTACAAAAACGGCCTGAAAGGGCTAAGTACCTTGCTCAGGGTCATTCATAGTCACTAATGCCTCCTTCATTTCAGAGCTGACACCCCAGGTTCTGCCTCATCAGATAGTTGAACATCTTTGAGCCTCAGTTGCCACCTCTGTGAAATGGGATGGTGATACAGGGAGAAAAAGAGGATCATTTTAATGCAGGAAGCTCCACACACCAACCATAAACACACATCAACCATTTTACTTGGTAGGCAAAGAACAACTTTTATACATTATTACTGTTAGACATAGAAGACCTTGAAAACCAGGAAGGTGAAAGATTAAAATTAAGAAAATAAAACAGGATGGTTGGGAATGTTGATAACGGAAGCACAGTACTTTTTGTCTTTATGAAAGACCTATTTCAGGAAAGATAAAGGCTTGTCCTTTCTGGCTCACCGAATTCCCAGGAGGGAAACCAGACTTTTCATTGCATTCATTGTGCTGGAGATTCTTTTCCCGAGACAGTGCAGAGCCAAGTCTGGTGCTCCTCTCCTAAAGTCTACCTTGTCCTCCCAGTGTGGCTGCCACGCCTCATGTTCCAGGTGCACACAGGGCCTCCCTCCTGGCCTGGGCGGCCACATCCACAGGGGTTAGTCCATAAAATCAACAGGAAAGGAAGGAGGTGCAGTGAGCCCCCAGCACACCTGTCTTCTGCGATCTCCTCACCTGGCCTCGATGAAGCGAAAGTACGCACATGCAGAGCCTGAGTCACTTTTGCCCTGTGGAGTTCTTGTTCACACGTGCGGTTTTCATCACTGTGACTATGATGGGATGGAAGACAACTCGAGCTTTGTTTCTTATTCACTCATCTGTGTGGGTGACATGTGAGTTTGGCTCATTTCTGCATATCTTGTGTGCACGGAGGGATTTTTAGTAAACAGTTTCATTGTTCAGCTCTTCTTGTAACTCTGCAGACCCAACTGAACTATAATTAAACTTTGACTGGGTAACTGCAAATTGGGCTGTGACTTTTTTCCTTCACTCATTTTAATCCTTAGTTGCTCTATCTCTTGTGGCGTTGTGTGCCATCAAGTCAGAACCTACCTAGAGCTGACCTTCCAGTGGGTTTTCAGAGGCAGTTTATCATTCAGGAGGAGACTGCCCCTCCTTCTCTCTCAGAGCAGCTGGTGGATTCAAACCACATGCCTTTGGGATTGCAGCAGCTTCTTACCACCAGGCCACCTGAGCTCCCTGGATGAAGCAGCTAGGCTTACAGAATTGTCAGAGAAGATAATTAAATCCTCAAAACAAAACAAAACTTTTTTTTTTTTTTTCTTTCCTTTTTCTTTTTTTTTAGTAAACCTTATTAAAAATGAGGTTTTGGCTTTTGGAAGATTGCTATCAGAGCTTGTGCAATTTATTGCTACCTTGCCATTATTTCTGGATGTTTCTTACAACCTCAGATACAGTTACTACCGTCTTGGTTTTTTTTCTTACTTGTGTTTTTTTTTACTAGTTTATTTACAAAATTCTAATACAGATTCGAACAAATTCTTTCCATTTCCTTCACCCCACACCCAACAAATTGTACAAACCAATGATTAGTCCCCTCTTCACCCTGTACATCCACATCCCTCTGTTTCCAGCCTCTCCCACCCCTCCTGGATCCTTATACTCATTCTACAATAACGGTCTTATGCAATATTTATCTTTGGGGGACTGAGTTAGTTCACTCAGCATAATGCTCTCCAATCCCTCCCAAGTTAGGTAATAATTTACCAAGTAATTGCTCTTGCATGCTGCATAGTATTCCATTATGTGAATGTACCATCATTTCTCAATCCATTCGTTTGTAGTTAGACATATAGGCTGTTGCCATGTTCTTGCAATGGTGAATAATACTGCTATGAACATTGGTGTACAAATCTCAGTTTGTGCCTCAATTCTTATTCTCAGGGTATATTCCAAGTAGAGGAATAGCTGGGTCATATGGAATTTCTGTGTTCCTTACCTGTGTTTTATAGTACCAGGCACACTGCTGAATTCAGGATAGATGCTCAGTGAATACTGTGGAAATGTTTTTGTGAGAGAGTGAGAAAGTGTATGTGTATGTGAGAGAGACAGATGTTTCAGCACCTGATGCCTTTTCTGTGCCTGGCAGGTATTTGAGATGGACATCTCTAAGCAGCTACAAGCGTATGAAGTGGAGTACCACGTGCTCCAGGAGGAGCTGATGGACTCTGCTCCCCTCAGCGACAACCAAAGAATGGACAAACTAGAGAAAACCAACAGCAGCCTACGCAAACAGAACCTTGACCTTCTGGAACAATTGCAGGTAGGGCATGCGCTCAGAGCCTCTTCCTGGACCGCAAGGACTCGGTAGTTCATTAACTCACCAAAGGCCCCAGCCAGCTGAGTTTTCCCATCAGCGGGGGCCCGTCCTCGCCCTGCTCTTTTTATAGTTGGGATCAAAGGTGTCCCAGGAAAACTGGCCACTTCTGTTAAGGAACATACAGATTGTCCTGTTCTCAGGTCAGACAGTCCTTTCAAAGAGGCTGTTTCCCCACTGCCCTTGCAGGGAGAAGGACCCAGGGTGAACTCTGGGTGGTGTGACTATGTCAGCCCACAGCTGGCAGTTGTACTTTGAGAACAACATGAGATCTGGGCATTCACTTCTGTCAGTGAAACCAGCTCGGAGCATAAAGCAGACAACAGGATAGATCCTGTGCTGATTATCTCTGAGTCCTTGGTACAAGTACGAAGACTCTTACCAGTGAAGGGTATGATTCTACCTTTTGGAAGCTTCCATCTTAACATGGGTGCAAGTAGATGCTGTTATGTGCCCTCTGGTCTGAACCAACTCAGAGCTCACCAGCGAGCAAGTTTTCAGAGACAGGAAAACCCACAGGCGGAAACTACACGTGCCTTTGGGTTGGCAGCACAACGCCTTACACTGAGCCACCAGAGCTCCCTAAAAGCATATGTGGACACATTAATGGGTACTATGCAGGAGCACAAAACGGTAAGATGGAGTAAGCACTGAGGTGCAGGAGGCCCCAGTTCTGTTAGCTCCTAGTGTTCCCCCACTTTGACACATGGGACAGAATGCCTGGTAGCTTAGGAAGCCCCTTCATCGAGCACGTAGAACAAGGTAATCATCTGCTCTTCTTTTCCAATGTGACACGTAGGCAGCAAAGCTGTCTATATTAAGAGTTGTTTTGAAGGTGAGTTTGTATTTTAATTCATTTGTTGTTTTCATCCCTGTGGGAGAAGCCCAAGTACGTATTAGGTATCTATTCCTAGAATAAGCTTTCTGTCTTGAACTGAGCCTGTGATACTCCCTCAGAAAGTGGCTGCCCTGCAGAGGCAATCGTGGCAGCTCCGTGAGCATGGTCAGCATTGGATGGCCTGATACCTCAGCCCTTGTCTGACATCTCTTCCTCCCAGCACGAAGCATCCCCGTAGACCCCAGAAGAGATATACTGGGGAACAAAGAGCATGCTTTCCTTACCCAATCTTGCCCACCAGTCATATTCTTGACACTTCGCTTCTTTCTTTTCCCCTCCATCGAAGATTGAGTTGTTTTAAGAGAAAATATGCCCATGGTAGCCGTTTCTCCACAGAGTCTTGGCTTAATAGGAAGGGTGCTGGAAATGCAGAAGATCTTAGGAGATTTTTTTAAAAAACCACAACAACCCGTGAGTCTATATAGTACAGTACAGTGAGTAATTGAAAATGACCTCTGAGCAAATAGTATGCCCCTGAAGCTTAACATGATGGACACATTCCCCTCAAAGAAATTTAACACAGTGGAGACATTCCACATTTGCGTTAGGATCATTTGACTTGTGAAAATGGGCAGTACCCAAATCACAGGGGTGTTTTGTTGGGGTATTACACTGCCAACACAAAGGTATACAGTTTGAATCCACCAGCTGCTTCATGGGAGAAAGACAGTCTTCCCATGCAATTTAGTGCCTCTGAAAACCCACTAGAGGGACAGCTATGGTTCAGTTCCAACTCAATGGAACTTAACAAAAATGACAGTGAAAACTGTGGGTCACATGAAACATCGTCTGATCTACAACTGGTTCCACGGGTGGCACAGAACTAGCAGGATTTTGTGGGCCACGATGGGTCTAGGTCAACTCAACTGCTTCTCACAATAACAGCAATGCCTGCGTGGTGGTTGTGTGAGAAAAGGCAGAAGGCATTTGTGTGCAGCTTCTGTCTGTTCTCATTGTTAAGACAGGAAGTTGTGAAATCTGCTCGGATACCCACATCCCTCAAGAAAGACATCAGGTGATAGAACATCTGCAAAGGTCTTCTTTTGATGAGGTGGCTTGTATTTCTTTGATGATTCTCATCACTGGGCCAATTGGCAGCTCCATGATAGATGGAGAAGAGATTGAGGTTGTTAACAATTACAGCTTGTTTAGCTCTGCAATCAGTGCTCTTGGCATCAGCAGGCAAGAAATCAGAAGACGGATTGCATTGGGAAAATCTGCTGTCAGGGACCTCTCCAGAGTGCTGAAAAGCAACGTCAGTCTAACGGTCAAGGTGTACCTGATCCAGGTCATGATCTTCACAATTACTTGTTATGCATCAGCGAGCTGGCAATGAAAAAAGATAGCAGAAGAAGAATAGATGCCTTTGAATTGTGCTGGCGAAGAGATCATACCATCCATGGACTGCCAAGAGAACAAGCAGGCCTGTCTTGGAGAGGGTGAAACCAAGTTTCTCCTTAGAGGCTAGGATTTTGAGGCTCCGTCTCACATAGTTTGGGCATGTTGCCAGGAAGGATCAGTGCTTGGAGAAGGACACCATGCTTGGAAGGGTTTAGGAACAGCACAAGAGAGGAAGACCCTGGATAAGGTGGACTGACACAGTTGTTGTGTGCCATCAAGTCAAGTACAACTCATAACGACCATATGAACAAAAGATCTGAACCCTGTTCTATCCTGCACCATCCTCACACTTCCTGGCACACAGTAACTGGGATGATGAGGGTAGGTATGTCAGAAATAGTGAGTTGGGTCAGGATAGAGCTCTGGTGGAGTAATGGTAAGAATCTGTACTGAAATCCTGAAGGAAAGCGGTTCAAATCCACCAGCTGCTCCACAGGAGAAGGATGACAGTCTACTTCTGTGCAATTAACTGACTTCAAAAACCCATTGGAGGAGCCACTATGGGTCATTTTTAACTTGACGGTACACAACAACAACAACAACAAAGCAGGGTTCAGAGCTTCTATATATAGAGTCACTATGAGGTGTAGTCAACTCGATGGCACATAACAACAACATATATGTAGAATAAATAAGTTGACCTATTTTCTAGCTTTATCCGGTTTGTGTAGTTATCAGGCATATACCAAAGTCCCATTTCTTCTATTATTGTTAAATACTTACAGATGGAGTTTATAAGCTGGAGACCTAACCATTCTAGTTAGGGCTATAACCACCAGAATACATCATGCTGAGTGAAATATCTCAATCACAAAAGGACAAATACTGCATAGCACCACTGTTATAAAGCAGGTCTGATGTGAGGGGTTGGGAGGAGAATAGGATAAGTTTGGATAGATAATGGTCACTGCATTGGAACAGTTGAAAGAACTGTCTAAAATGAATATACGAATGACTAGGCATTATACATACGACAACAGCCCAGAAGAAGAGATATATCATGGTAAAGAGGACTGAGATGTGGTAGGGGGTAAGGTAATTCTGCAAATGAATGAATTTTTTTTTTTAAAGTGAACTGGAGAAGGAGGGAGGGCAAGGGGGTAAAATGTGCAACAATGAATGAATGAAAATCTAACTTCTCTGTAAATGCTCGTTAAAATCACAATTGAAATAAAATGTTATTGGGGGCGGGAAGAATACATAAGACTGTTACTGCATATAGAAACCCAACCAGACCTACTGGCTCCCTGTCTGTTCTGACACTGGCCGAGCAGGACAGACTAGAACTGCCCCGTGAGGCCTCCAGGGCTGTAATCTTTACAGAAGCAGATTGCCACATCCTTCTCCTTCAGTGTGACTGGTAGGTTTGAACTGCTGACCTTCAGGTTAGCAGCTGACACTTAACAACTGTGCTATGTCAGATGGTGCCGAGGACTCATGCACTTTCATTTTTCATAATCATCAACTCCAAGTCGCTGCAAGCCAGCATGGAGTGAGGTGCTGTGGGAGGCCGGAGCCGTGGGAAGGTCACTGTGTGTTTCGTACCATAAAGGGATTTCAGCCTGACTGTTGCTGTTGTGGTTGTTGCTGTTGTTGTTAGCTACCATCATCTCAGCCCCCATCTATGGTATCCCCATGCACAGTGGAATGACGTGTCCCCCAGTCTTGCACCATGCCTCGATTGGTTGTATATCAGATCAGTGCCATCCACAGGGACTTCATTGGCTGAGTTTTGAGAGTACATTGCCAGACCTTTCCCCTTTGTGTCTTAGTCTCGAAGATCTGCTGAACCTGTTCATCATCTTGTCAGCAACCCAAACCTCTGACAGACAGGTGGAAGCTGCGAGTGAGGTGCGTTGGTGGGGAATTGAACCCAGGTCTCCCCCACATGAACTGTGGTGTTGAAGAGTCCTGACTATCTCATGGACTGCCAAAAGAGCGAACAGGTCTATCTTGAAGGAAGGGCAACCAGAGTGCTCCTCAGAGGCAATGGTGGTGGGACTCTGTCCATCCTTTGGGCATGTTGGCAAGTGGGTCCAGACCTTGGATACCGACATCGTTCTGGGAAAAGTAGAAAGTCAGCAAAAGAGAGGACTCACAAGATGGATTGACGCAGCAGGCTTGATTGTGAGGGTGGCATGCATGGGACAGGGCAGGGTTTCGATATGTTTTTCATAGAGTTCTCTGGAGTCATGGTTGGCCTGCCCAACAGCACCCAACAGCAACAGCATTCCCCATGTGGGTGACAAGAATTCTACCACTGAACCCCAGTGCCTCACTCAGGCTCATTCTGTTGCATATATTGTTGCGTCAAAATCAACCCTTAGCTGACCCTCCAGAGGATTTTTCAGGGGCAGTAAATTGCACAGGAAGAGATTGCCCATGTTTCTCCCACAGAGCAGCTGGTAGATTTGAACCACATACTTTTGCTTTAGGAGCACAATTCCTTTCCACTAAGCAGGAGACTGGATATTCTTGCAGAACGTCAAACGACCATATAGAACAGTTAAATCTGTGCTCTACCCCACAATGCAGTGGGAGAGCCTGCCTGGCGCTGAGATGGGATTTTGAGAACTAGAGAGTGTTGCTTGGATATACAGACCAGAAACATGACAGCCCTACCTGGCAAGCCGAGGACCCCAGTTCTCTAGTCCTGCTTTGATTGTTGTGGGGGTGCAGCCAGGGCTACGGTCTGAGCCATGAATTGTCTGGCACACGTGTTGTCTTCTTCAAAATAAGGTTTTTCTTTGAAGATATGTACCATTTTCCCACTTAAAATAAATGAAAAGGTGAAAACCTGGATTCATCAGACAAAGTAATGTCTCATTGACCTGGTGACCTAAACCTTCCAGAACTCCCTACGACCTGAGGAACAAGCCAGGGAGGGCTCAAGACTCCAGCATGCGCAATCCTGCAGTTTGCTCTGGAGCCCACCACCTCACTGGTACCAGCACATTCGTTGCTTATGAAGCTGCCGTAGCGGATTGGAGAGGGAAGGACAATTGTTAAGAGTGTTGTTGTTGTTGTTGTTAAGTGCCATCAAGTTCAGTCTGACTCCTGACAACCCTATGAGCAGTAGATCTGAATCTTGTCCTATCCTGTGCCATTCTCAAACTTTCCTAACATTCTAGAGACCGTTGCAGCCTTCACTTTGTCAGTCTACCTTGTCGAATCTACCTTACTCTCCTTCACCGACTCTACTCTCTTCCAAGCATCATGTCCTTCTCCAAGGAATAGCCCCTCCCAGCAGTATGCTCAAAGTATGTGAGACAAAGCGTCACCATTCTTGTCTCCAAAGAGCAGTCCAGCTGCATCCTCTCCAAGACATACTTGTTCTTTTGGCCGTTCATGGGGTGCTCAGTGCTCTTCTCCAGCATCACAGCTCAAAGGCATAAATTCTTCTGCTGTCATCTTTATTATTGTCCAGCCGTCAGATGCATGGCAAGTGATCGGAAAGACTATGGCCTGAATCAGACACACCTTAGTCCTCAGAAATCATTACTCCTCAATAATTTGGAGAGTTTCCTAACTGCAGACTTCCCCAGTACAATGTGTGTCCTTATTTCCGTACTGCTGATCCCAAGGGTGTTAATTGTGGATCCAAGTAAAATGAAGTTGTTCACTGTTTCAGTCTCATCTCTGTCCACCATGATGCCTATTGGTCCAGCGGTAAGAATCTTTGTTTTCTTGATATTGAGACACTATCCATATTGAAGGCTGCAGTCTTTGCTCCTCTGCAACAAGTGCTTCAGATTATTGTTAAGTGACATCAGTTCATCTTACTCACAGTGACACCATGAACAAAAGATGTGAAGCTGCTCTGTCCTTACGACATCTGCCACCCTTGAGCACATTGTTGCAGTCACTGTGTCAATCTGTGTTATTATGTGCTCTTGAGTGAGAACTGACTCAGAACTGTCAGGTTTTCAGAGGCTATAAAGCACGGGAGAGAAGATTCCTCATCTCCTGCAGAGCCAGCTGGTAGATCCAGCCTGAGTGTTGTTGAGTTGACAGCACAACTCCTTGCCACTAGGCCACCAGAGCTCAATTCTCTCTTCAAGGGGAACATTTTTAATTCTCTCTTTGGCTGACATTCTCCCTTTCCCAGTATAATGCCCTTTTCTAAGAACTAGCCCCAAGGATGTGAGATAAAGGTTCACCACCCTTGCCCCTAAGGAAAATCCTGGTTGCACTTAAAAAAATCTATGTAAATGGCATTAATTATTTGCTCAGGGCTGAAAAAGGAGCCTCAAGTGGCAGTGTTTAAATGCTTGACTCAACTGAAAGATTGGCACTTTGAACCTACCCATCACCCACTGCACAGGAGAAGAATCAAACAGTTGTTTCTATAAAGTTTACTCACTGCTTTGGGGGGAATTCTGACTCATAATTACCCACCATCAGGTTTCCATGTCTATAAATCTTAGGGAAAACTTGCCCATCTTTCTCCCATGGAGCAGCTTTGAACCACTGGCCTTTGGGCTAGCAGCCCTTCATGTTACACCCTGCACCACTAGAACATTAGAAACCGTAGCTGGTCCTACAGGATCACTGTAATTAGGAGTTGACTAAGATGCCAGTGATGTAAATTGAGAGCCTCCTCAGTTGGAAGGTATACGTAAGCCTCTCCTTGGGGGGTAGTAATGAGTCTGTGAGGTAACCAGTCAGCTCTTAAAATACTTAACCATGCTTAGCACTCAGACAAGTTTGGGGCAAAACCTCACGTCCCTTGTGACACCTGTTTCTCTTCTAAAAACAAGATAAACCCAAAGCCCCATTAATGTAAAGTCCATCCCACCCTATCTATGGGAACTGCCTTCCATTGAGTTTCTGAGGGTGTAAGTCCTTAAATGAGGCCACTGGCCAGGTCGAATCAAATCACAGACCTTTCAGTTAGTGTGGCACACATACTTTACTCCTGCGACTGCTTCTGTTATTCTGTTGTTGTTCTTGTTGTTGTGTATCATAGAGTCAGAACTGACACATAGCTGACCCTCCCGTGGCTTTTCAGAGGCACTTCATTGCACAGGAGGAGATTGCCCATCCTTCTCCTGTTACTCACATTCTCTGTTACTCTAATTGTTGTTGTGTGCTGTCAAGTTTCCTGCTCATTGTGACCTTATGTACAACAGCTGTTGCCTGCCCTATCCTGAGCCAGTCTCACTGACTCCAACACACCTACCCCTATTGCCGCAGTTATTGTGTCAGTCCATCTCATCTGAGGTCTTCCTCTCCTGCGCTGTCCCTCCACCCTTCTGAGCGTGATGTCTCTCTCCAAGGACTGCTCCCTCCTGAGCATGTGCCCAAAGTGTGTGAGACTGAGCTTCAAACTCTTTGCCTCCAAGGAGAAACTTGGTTTCACCGCCTCCAAGGCAGACTTATTTGTTCTCCAGGTAGTCCATGGTATTTTCAAGACTCTCTCCAAAACCAACTCAAAGGCATCAATTCTTCTTCTCTCATCCTTAGTCATTGTCTAGCTCTCTGATGCATAGAGTGTAATTGCAAAGATCATGGCCTGGATCGGGTGCACCATAGTCTCTAGACTGATATCATTGCTCCTCAGTACTCTGGAGAGGTCCCTGACAGCAGACTTCCCCAGTGCAACTTGTCTTGATTTGTTTCTGCTTAGACATTCACTTAGAAACCATTTTGACTGTGTCAGTGCAAATCAGTTTTTCCATATAGGTATTTGCAGTCAAATTAGGCTAGCTGCAGTAAGCAATTTCCAAAGTTCAGTGGCTTAATACAGAAAAGGTTTAATTTGTTCTCCCCAAAGCCCTGCCTCTTCCCCAGGAAGCGTTCTCTTCCCTCTGGCGAGTGACCCAGGACTCCTCCAGATTGTGATGGCATTGTCTCCACGTGACTTCTGGGTCCTCCACATAAAGGGCAGGGGAGGCTGAATCTCAGGGGATGTTTTTAGGGCCTGGTCCAGCCTGGTTGCAGTGGGAGTTGGGGAATGAGGTCTTCCTGTGTGGTCCAGAAGAACTGGTAGTAAACACAAGACTTGGTTTTGCCAAGGCCTGGCTCCAACATGCCCTCCAGGCTGGACAGTGGAATGCTCAGTGGATTTCAGCCTTGTTTATCCCTGGGCTGTTACCTTCTTATTTCTTCTTTCATCCTCCAGGTGGCGAACGGTAGGATCCAAAGCCTCGAAGCCACAGTGGAGAAGCTTCTGACCAGTGAAAGCAAGCTGAAGCAGGCAGCCCTGGCATTAGAGCTGGAGAGGGCTGCCCTGCTGCAGACGGTGGAGGAGCTACGACGGCAGGCGGCAGAGCGGAGCAGCACCGAGCCGGCCCTCGCTCAGCCCGAGCCTGCCGGTGACTGACAGCCTTCCCGGAGCACCCCCTCGGACGGGGAGATCGCACACCTCACACTGTCCAGGCCTTAATGACGAGAACCAGGAAGTGCTGGCAAAGAGAAGGAAGCGTGGCAGGTGCTTCTCAGGGAGAAGACTGGCTTTGCCAGCACGCTGAACTAAGACGTGATTCATGGGGAGCAGATGTTGTTTTTGTTGTTTCACGTTCTAAGTTGACCCTCGTCTGCTCCCGATTACTGTACTCAGTAGTTTTAGATGGCATGGACATGAATAAATGCACCTTTATGTTTCCTTGTTGGTTCATTTTTCACTGTCACCTCATTTGTGAAGAACACACAGAAGACAAAAAAGTCGAACCTATTGCCATCAAGTTGATTTGAGCTCATGTTGACCTCGTATGTGCAGTAGAAATGCTGTATAAAGTCTTTCTGACTGTGAGCTTTTGGAAGCAGAGCACCAGGTCTGTCTTCTTAGGCACCTCTGAGTGTGTTCAGACTTCCAACCTTTTGGTTAGAAAGCTGGATACTTACTGTTTGTACCATCCAAGACTCTGAAGAACATACATTTAAAAAAAAACACCCCACTGCCATCAGGTGGGCTCCACCTTCTGGCAGCCCTGTAGGACAAAGGAGTTGTTGTTGCTGTGTGCCCCTGACTCGGAACTGACCCATAGCTGATCCTCCGCTGGGTTTTCAGAGGCAGTAAGTCCCTTGGGAGGAGTTGGCCCATCCTTCTCCCTCAGAGGAGCTGATGGATTTGAACCACGTGCCTTTGGGATTGCAGTGCAGTTTCTTACCACTAGGCCATCCCATGTGATGATTTCCAACTCTGTTAAATCTTTATAGAAACAGAATGCCTCTTCGTCCTCTCATACAGTGACTGGTGGGTTCAGACCACACACTGGTTAGCAGCCAAGTGTTTTACCCTTAGTGTCGCCTTGAAGAAGAATACATGTTCCTAGTGGCTTAGCCCGTAGGGAGTTGTGCTCACCCAAAGACCTCACCTCTCCAGTGGTTCAAATTCACCAGCAGCTTCTTGAAAGGAAAAATGGGCAATCTCCTCCCATGTGGTTTACAGCCTCCAAAAACCCACTGGAAGGTCAGCTATTAGCAGGCACTGACTGAAGGCCAGTGAGAGAGGAGAAAGATGGAATTTCAAAGGCCTGAGAGATCAAGGGGAGTCCTCTCGTAGAGTCCCTAGCCCCTCAGCCTTCCAGAGAGGATTTCTGGGAATAGACTTCAGAAACATCACTGGCCGGATGCAGTTAACTCTTGCTCGTTTTTAGATGACTGTTGAGAACAACGGAGATGCATTTCTTTAGATTGGGTAACTTGAGTTTAATGGCTATCCCTGGTATTTAAGGGAATTTTTCTTTTTAAAAACAATAAAGAATGTCTTAATATCTTTTCATTTATTCCTTTAGTATTTTTTATAAAAAATCATGATATATAAACATTTTATAGGAGAGTGCCATTTTCTGCAGACCCTACCAGATAGTTCAAGCAAGTGACCTGTAATTCTGTTTATGCCTTTGTTGTAGTTTTGTATTCATATTATAGAATCATGTATATTTTCTTATTTTTTCATGGCACACTGTCTTCTCTGCCCCTTGGGAATCTGATTGCTTGCAGAAGGAGGAGGATGCATAAAGATTTTCATCAAGGCCAGATGTGACTGGACTTTGAAAAGGAAGGAAAACTGGTCTTGGGCTATGATACATGACAGCTAACTACAGTTTTTCTAAGATGCTAGTAATCTCTTGCTGTCAAGTCAACTCCCAACTCTAGAATGACCCCACGTACAATAGAGGAAACACATCGAGGAGGCAAAGGACAATTCGGGGAGAAACTCTCTTGTCTCTCCATTTATAAATGTAACTATACAGCTTCATTTCTGTCCATGCTGGGGTCTCTCTTAAGCATAGAATGAAAGAAATGATTGTCTTGTGCCATGTTCCATGTCATTCTAAATCTCTAAAATTTAAGAAGACTTGAAACACTTACTGAAGAAGATTAAAAAACTACAGCCTTAGATATGGATTACACCTAATCATCAAGAAAACAAAAATTCTCACCACAGGACCAACATTTATATGCCCAGTGATTTCATTTTACATGGATCCACAATCAGTACCTCTCATAGAATTGTTGTTGTTAAGAACTGTGAAATCAGAACTGACTCATGCTTGACCCTCCCGTGGGCTTTCAGAGACTGTCAGTCACGTGGGAGGAGATTGCCCATCTTTTTCCCAAGGAACAACTGATAGATTCGAACCTCGTATCTGTTGACTGACAGTACAGCTCCTTAACCACTAAGCCACCAGTGGTTCTTGTGGCAGTTCCCATGGTAGTGGTGGTGCTATGTGCCATCAAGTTGAGTATAACCCAGCAACCCTGTAAACAACAGACCTCAACCCTGTCCTAACCTGTGCCATCCTCATCATCTCTTAATACACTAGAATAGCAGTCAAGAAATCAAAAGATGTTACACTGGGGGAAATGTGCAGTCAAGGACTTCTTCAGAGTGCTGAAGAGCAAGGATATCAGTTTAAAGATTAGGATGTGCCTGATGTAAGCCATGGTATCATGGTATTTTCTGTTGCTTTCTATGCAACTGAAAGGTGGACAATGATTTGCATTGACAGAAGAATTGATGCCTTTAAATTGTGGTGTTGGAGAAGGCAAACCTGCCTTGGCCTGAGAGTCAAGAATGGTGGAATTTCCATCTCACTCATTCTGGGCATTTTTTCAGGAGGGGCCAGTCCTTGGAAAATACATCTTGCTGAGAAAGATGAAGGGTCAGAGACAGGAAGACCCTCAACAAAGCTGCTTGGTAAAGTAACTGCAACATTGGATTCGAGCATGTCAGAGATTATGAGAATGGTACGGGAGATCTGTTGTTCATAGGGTTGCTGTGAATCCCCGTGGCTCAACAGCACTTAATAATGCCTAAATGATTGGTGCTTGGAACTCTTGTTCTATGTGTCAGATTTCAGCAGTTCTAGGAAAAATTATACATCCTTATTTCCTTGATTCATTCTTCCTCTATTTCATGCTCCCATCATTAATGAATGTTTACAGCTGTCTGTCCTCATTTTGAGTCTTGCCACTTTAGCAAATGAATATTCCATCTACATCATTGTGGTAGAGTAGACAGCTCTTCCCCAGTTGCATTTTGAGTATCTTTCAACCAGGGGATAGTGTTCTTCCATTATCCACAGAGTTTCTTAAAGCCTATAAGCTCAGAAGTGGATGCCAGCTCTGCTTCTTAGTCTGTCAGCTCTACTGAAACCTGTCAGCCATGGGTAATCCTGCTAGTATTTGAAATACCAGTAGCATAGCTTCTGGCATCATAGCAACATGCAAGCCACCATGGTACTGCAAACTGACAGATGAGTGACAGTCCAGGACCTCACCACAGTGAGAGCACGGATGTCAATTAAAAGACTAGGGTGAGCCTGGTCACGGTATATTATGGTGTCATGGTATTTAATACCTGTATAATGATACTTTCAGTTACTTTCAGCACATCTACAAGTTGGATAATAAGGATGATTAAAGAAAAATTAATGTCTTTGAATTGTAATCTTGGCAAAGTATTCATTACACTATGGACTGCCAAAAAAACAAGTCTGTCCTGGAGGAAATGCAATCAGTTCTCCTTAGAGGCCTACATGGTGAAAATTGGCCTCATATACATTTTTGTCAGGTTTGTTCATAGGTAGGGGTCAATTCTGAGAAAAAGTTGTGGGGAAGATAGAGAATTAGCAAAAAGGGGAACCCTGCGCTAGGTGGATTGACACTGTGACTGTAGCAATGGCGTGAGCATGTTGGTGCAAGATGGGACAAGTTCCAGTCTCTTCATGGGGTCACTAAAAGCCATAGCCCATTGGCACTTAACGACAACAACCAGAACAAACAAAATGCCTGGGTCCTGAGTGAGTTCCGTGGTTCTCTTATCATGGGAATCCCACCAGTACTGATTTTCCCAAGTGTAGGAGGCTAGAAACGCAAGAGCAAGTCGCATCTGGGGAGGCTTTTGTTGGTGTGGAGGAAGATCCTGGTCTCTGAGCTTCTGCTCTTGGATGCTCTTCATGTGACTTGGCATTTCTCTTGCTCTGTACTTTCTCTTGTTTGTTTAAATCTTCCCTATAGCTCAAAAGAGATTAACAAGACACTCTACACCAACCCTGCCTCATTAACCTAAGAAAGTCAGCCTTATTCCCAAATGGGATTAGAGCCACAGGCATGGCAGTTAAGATTCATAATACGCATTTCTGGGAGGACACAGTCCACTCCATAATGCCGAGTAATTCCACCAGATAAAATAAAGGAGTTGCCATTTGAGGGCATCTTTCCACATGGTATTTTATTGTTTTGAATATTTAATAGCATTGGCTTTGGGACCTCTTCTTACATTACCCGAGAGTATTGGCTTCACATTAAATAAGAGCAAGAAAACAATAAACAATCGAAGCTCACACTATTGTTTTTGCACGCTCTCTCTCACTCGCTCTTTCCACTCCCCTCTCCCCTCTCCTCTCTCTCTCTCCCCCCTCTCCCCTCCCCCCTTTCTCTTTTTCTCTTTCAACTTTGGAGTTTCACTTTCCAGCCCAGAAGTGCAATGAATACCTCATGAACACCTGCAAGTCAAAGTATGACTGTTGCCAAACCATCAGTGAAATCAGGTGACGTCACATCTCCAGTATTGTTGCAGGTCTACGCTGTGGTTCTGCAGTGTTACAGCACTTCGGCATGGGGTGTGAAGATCAGCATTAATGAGGCCAGTTGCATCCGTTGTACGTGACAATGACCAGGATCCTGATACAGATTACCCTGTACGTTGGACTGTTGACCGGAGCCTGTGGTTATATAGCGTGCTCATAGCCACAGCCTGTGAATTCAAAGCAAAAGGAAAGATGCATAAAGTCAATTCACAGCAATGTATGAGGGTCTTTGAAATCTAGTTTCCTATTAAAGAGCCCTGGTGGCACAACACTTAAGTGCTTG